GGGGACACCTTGGACAGGTCTCCAGTCCATCACGGGGACACCTTGGACAGGTCTCCAGTTCATCACGGGGACACCTTGGACATGTCTCCAGTCCATCACGGGGACACCTTGGACATGTCTCCAGTCCATTGCAGAGGACACACAGAGACAAACAACCATTCTCTCTCTCGCCTAGGGACAATTCAGAGTTACCAATCAACATGTTTTTGGTCTGTGGGTGGAAACCGGAGTACCCGGAGAAAACCCACGCAGCACGGAGAGAACATGCAAACTGCACCCAGAAAGGCTGATATTTGAACCGGCAACCTTCTCACTGAGAGGCAACAGCTCTACCCACTGCACCCCTGTGCCACCCATGAAGGAACGGTCTGTCACTGGTTGGGTGTTACAGGTTCCAAGCCTCTTGGATCATGTAGGTGCTCCGTTGTCAAAGGTCCACTGTTAATGACGGCCATCACTTGGTAAAGAAATGTTCTGCTGGATCCATCAAGATGGCTGCTAGAACACTTCTGATTGTTCCAATTTGTTGATCCCACACACCTCCCATGTGACTTGATGAGTTATGAACTCTCATCCAGATTCCTTTACTTGCTCCTCGTTGCTGTCACAAGTTCTCACTTCATACCTATAACGTTGGCAACACCTTGGTTGTCTTAAATTGCCACGCGTTGCAATGAATGTGTGCAGCACTGATGAAGGCGTCGGTGGAAAGGTCTCCGAGCAGTCCTTCGTGAACTGCTCGTGAGCACACGTGTAAACAGCAGGCCATGCTTCTTTACTTCTTTTCTTGCATCCAACATAAAATGGACCGAATCAGTCTAAGCCACATTACGAGAACAGTGGTGCCATTATCATTCTGTCTTCAGGCAAGTCCAACTTCTTTGGTTCTCGAGTACTTCTTCTGTACTTTCGACACTCATGAATGTGTGAGGCAGCTGTTACGGCAGGTTCTGACCCATGTTCCGTTGGATCGCAGTTCATTCGTTCTTCCTTGATGATGAACTCTTTGATGGCAGTGTTCGATGAGCAAAGGTTTTACATAACGTGTCTCTGGAAGAATAACTGGATGTTTAATGTATGAACGTAGGATGGATCTTGCCGAGCATCCTCCATCTCTGAGTGCACCATTTTCATCCATAGATGGTCTTAGTTTGTTCAAATGGCTCGATGTGTTGACAGATATTACATCTTTGCTTCTCTCTATACTTAATGTTGCTGCTGCAAGTTTCTTCCTGAACTAGTTCGATAGTATCAAGTTCTGCTCCCTGTCTTCCTTCAATACTTGTAGGTTCATCTGTCTTGGGCCGGAGAACTTTCACTTGTCTAACAAAGCTCAAGACGGCGATGGTGTCAATTCTTCAGTCAGAAAATTTAGACAGTCGAGCAGTGTTCTGTCTTCCTTCGCATCGGTGTTGAGCACCCGAGTTCTTTGTAGTTCTGGATTATGGTCATCCACCGTTCCTGCTCAGAAAGTCCGGACCAGTAAACCAGTTTGACTTCATCAACTCGTGAACTCTTTGACCTTTTGAAATATTGTCTACAGAAATTATCTTCAGACTTTATGTGATGCCATTTGTCAACATCTGCAACTGAGTGTGACGGAGAGTGAACTTCTTTCTTTAGAAAGACTGTGGGTCTGAGTTCTGGTATTACCTTCGTCACAGTACCTTCGATGACTCACATCGATTACATCATTCATGCTCTCTGGGTCCACCACACCTAACACTGCTCCATCCGAGGTCAGCCTTCTGTGCAAATTGTTGGTTCCTTTCCCCGATGACTACCTCTAGGTAATAGAGCTTGTGGACAACTGTAGCCGTTAGAAGCCCAGTTTTGCAATCCATTAGTGGAGCCACGTGATCTGCAAGATGATCCAAATGAGCCATGCCTTGGCATTCTCAGAGGTTGGAATATGTGTTGGATTGTCGGGGATGAAGTCCAGAGTGTGGACAGTTGGCACTGTAATCTTAGAAGAGGAAGGTCCTCTGACTTGAAGGTCTTTAATTCTTTTGCAAGGTACAGTTGTCTTTTTGATAATATTGTTCACAGTTTGAGCTTCACCTGTTTTGATTTCACATCTAGAACTTTGTCCAAAACCAACGAGGAGTCACTTGGTGTCGTGCACCGTTACCATCTTGCACTTTTCTTTTGGATATAGTTCCCTTTACTTGCGGCTGAGTCGTGTGGTTTTCTTTCTTGAATATCAATTGTTTCTTCAGATTGTTCTGTTTTTGGTTCTGGTTCTGAGCGTTCTGCATGCAGACAATAGGAGGTCGTTGTAAGTTACATGTCGGGTGCTTGCTACAACTCTTGGACTGATGGTCAAGACTCAAACATCTGAATCAAAGATTTTCAACTTGGATGAACTTTACTGTCTCGAACTGCAGGTAACGGTGTTCCTTTCACTTGTGTTGGTTTTTAAACTCTTACAATTCACAGTTGTGTTGTTTTGAACCACTCTTTGCTTTTTATTCTTTGTCTTGTCAGGTTCAGCTTGATGTAAGGCATGAAGTTATGGGATTACATGCAATGTTAGATTCCATTGTTCGGGATGTTAAAGAGTCAGAACGTTGTGTTCCGTTTGATTCCAGCTGGCACTAAACCAGTCAGGACGTCTGGAGGTGCGTGATTCTCAGTGTCGTCTTTCAAAACACAGACTCGCATCGTGAACCATGACCGATGTGACAGCGTAAGAAATCTCAACTCGGTGCTCTCCTTTGGGAGTGACTTTGGCCCAGCAAGTAATTCATCTCTGAAGGCTTTAGCAAAGGGCTCGCCATATCTTTTCCTGAGTAGATGCCATGCTGTGCTGTACGAGTCTTCAGAATAGATTTAAAAAAACTAACTTCTAGGGCCTCTTTAACTTCTCCTCCAACATATTTCTGAAGAAAGGACGACTTCCACCGATCAAATGTAAGTGGATCAAGAGAAAAGCCTCTTCACCATCGATGACTGTGACTCCACCCGGCTCTCGTCTCCTCAGGTGGAGGTGATTTGTCACGGTTACTTGTTTCCCCGCTCTGTGGGTGGGGTCGCAACAGGTCATTGTGTTCCAGCCACTCCACCAGTTGTGGTCCTTGATCGTCCTGGACTTGAGTTTCGTTAGCTTATCCCGGCGCAGCTTATCAGTCCGGGTGTAGCCACCCTGACAGCGTCTCAGATACCCCTTGGTTAACGCGCTCATTTCTTGCGGTGCCGTCCAGTTCACGCTGGATCCAAACATCAGCCGATGAAGTTAGGAAGTTCTGTACGTCATCATTGGTCCACGGCACCATTTCTGGAGCTTCCATACCAGAAGGTAAAAAACCAACACTTGATCAGAGAGGAAGTGGAGGTTCTGATGTGGTTCATAGTTCTGCTGGGCGGGTCATCCAGTGACGTAGCTCCGCTGGTCCACGGCTGCTGTCTGCTGACGTCAGAACTGGCACCTCAGAGCAGCCCGCTTGGAACCACGAACTAGGTGGCACCATAAACTGGGCTGAGTTGGTTGTACCGGCAGTGGGCGGGACCTTAACTGGTGCGGGGTGGAGCCAATGAGAGTTGGCAAAGCGCCATAAATATGTCGTGTTCGAGAACTGGGAACTGACTGGAAGATGTGACTTCAGTCAAAACTTTAGTTTCATCTTTTGAAGATGTGACAAAGATGACGAAGTCTTTCCGTGGGTTCTGTTCAGGATCGTGGAGTTCTTGCCCGACTCTTCCCACCATCATTCATTCAGGTTTTCCAGTTCTTCTGCTCTCAGCAGATCTGCGCAGTCTGAATCAGTCCAGATGATCTACGGCTCAGTTTGATCGTTTCATTTAGTTTTTTAACTCTTATCTATATTCACATCAATTTGTTGATTTTATTTTATTCTCTCTTGGAGCATGTTAGTGAAAAAATCAAAGTGTGAAGAACTTTGTGTAAATATTAGTAAAATATCAGATAATGTTCATTAGATCTTTATGGTTTCACATATTTTTGTGTTTAGACTAAAACTGGTTAAATGTTCAGTTAGCAGCAGATTCTTTGTATTTTCTGTCATTTATCATAAAAACGGACTAATTTTAATTAAAAACCTATAAATACGAACTTGTTCCTTTCAGATTAATATGATTGCACCCCCTCAGGTTTCTGAGCTTTAGACCAGAAAATATATAAATGCTGTTTTACACTCAGAAAGAAAGTTGTAGCTACGCAACTGGCCTGAGTTCAGATTTATTTTAGTCAAAATTATAATTAGTAACGACGACGAATCAACAGGAGCACATTCGATGTTCCTACTTCAGATTCTGAGTTAAAAAAAACAACAAATTATTTAAAAAAGGCTCATTTTTGAGCATTTGAGTGTAAAAGACCCTGTAAAGTTAATTTTTGATTCAGTTATGACTCTGGTCTGGACGCAGACAGATTTGTAATGGTCCCAGTTGACCAGGTTCAGGTTTGCAGTTCGTCTGTTTGGAGCTGTGATCACCTTGCGGCTGTGATCGTCTTGCGGCGCCGTGTGTTTACGGGTCGGGCGTTCAGCCTCAGATCTGCTGCGATCCGTCAAACTCGTCCGCACTTGTTGCTTCAAACTGCGAGGCGAGCGTTTTTCAGATCCTCGGGCGCTGAAATCTGCCTGAGCCCACGCAGCCGAACGAAATCCTTCAAAATAAAAGTTGAAACAAGCTCGTGAAACAACGTTTCTTCCTGATCGAGCCTTTTCATGAACATTTAGTTCATCAAAACAAAAACCACCGGTGGACATTAAAACAGATTTTTGTTGGTTTTTAGAGGGAAACCGTTTAAAAAGTTAACTTTCACCTTTGACGTGTCGTGATTCATTTGTGACAAACTTCACGTGATTTGTGTCCAGTTTCTGTTTTCGCAGCTCCAGGAAACATAAACTGGCGTTGAAGCGAAATGTTGACGCCGCCCGCTGAGCGCGCGCACGGTTATCTCGTCACCATGGTAACCTCGTCTGATCCTCGTTAGCAGAAACGAGGATCTGAGTGTGTTTGTCTGTCCTTGTGAGGACGTCGGGGGTTCCTCGGAGCTTCAGTTTAACGTTATCAAACATTTAAATCAGTTTTTTATCAGTTTATCGCCGCTCTGATTTAAAAACTTCTGCGTGGCGTTCAGGAAACATAATTTACTACAGATCTGTGTTCAGACCTTCAGTTTTAAAACATTTACCTGAGATTTGAGTTATTTTAATGAACATTTGTTGAAACTTTACACATTAAAAGTGACAAGAGAAACAAAAACATGTAATCTTGTTCATAACTTGAAGGTTTTAGTGTTTTTTAACCAATAATGTAAAAAAAAATCAATATTTTTTGTTTCTTAACAGTAAATTTTTCAGTACGTTTTATGTGATCAGGCGTGTGCTACAGAAATATTCAGGTTAGAATAAGAAATTATTATAGTTTGATCTTGACCTAAAACTTTAATTAGACAAAAAGATTAAAAACGTTTAAAACTGGTTATAAATATTTAAAATTAGCTGTAAAAATGTAGTTTAATAAATAAACACAAAGTCTTGTTTTGTGTTTTTGGTTGTTTAAATGCAGATTTAAAAACTAAATAATTATGGCTGTTTGTTTTTATCTTTTATTTGTTTAGATAAAATAAAATTCTGACGTATTTATGATCGGGGTCCTCACAGAGATAGATATTTCAACCTGTGTGTGTGTCGGGTTGCTGTGGCCGGCCACACACACACACACACACACACACACACACGTAGCAACAGTAACCAGGAAAGTGACATGTCCACCAGCTGTGCGGTCACATGACCTCGGTGTGTTTATTAGCTGATTGTGGTGCATGCTGGGTAATTATGAGCTCCCAGTGAAACCTTCAGGTGTGTAACTGGTGCTTTAGCAGCTCCAGGTGCTGCTCTGTGATTGGCTCTTGTAACCGTGTGTGTGTGTGTGTGTGTGTGTGTGTGTGTGTGTGTCCCGCAGACAGACAGTCAGGATGCGTGAATACAAACTGGTTGTTTTGGGATCAGGAGGCGTCGGGAAGTCAGCTCTGGTAAGTTTTCTGTGCTCGGTCGCGACGCTCCCTTTTCCTTGATGTCAGTGAAGTAGACGTCGGAGCTGCTCTGGTTTCTTCCGGTGAACTCCGGCGTTTCAAATGAAAACACAAAAACAAACAACGGTGAACTTTTTAAATCTTTCAATTTGAACCATTTGAAGTTTTGTTGAACAAACTTTTTAGTTTCTCTGCTGACCGACTCATGAAGCTCAGCCAAACTACAGATACAAGCTAAAGCATCAAAAGGATTGTTGAAAGCTAAAGTATGAAAAGGATAGCTAAAAGCTAATGTATCAAAATGATAGTTGAAAGCTAAAACA